GTTTGAAAATTTATAATTAAAGAGACACATCAAAGTTTATTAATACTTAAATAAAGTTTAATTTTAATTACAGTAAGATTTGCTAATACGTTTTCGAAATAATATATTAATAATAATGTTAGACTAATAGCAACATAAAGTTTTAAAAACAAAGATTTAGGAATAGTTAGTTCTTGGTCTGATGGCAATGACATGTTTGATTGACGGATAAAATTGTACAAACCAATCATACTTAGAAGAAAAAAAGAAAGTTTCAACTTGACACTATGGTAGCTGAAACAGACCAATACATCCAAGAAGAAGAAATGGTTTACCAGTTTACCAAATTGACATTTCCTGAGACAGAATTTAAAGTGAAACCTGAACTTTATAAATATTACGTGATGTGTTATAGTTTTTTGAAATTAGGACACTTGAAGATTTAAAAAAGACAATTTGTGTTTTCTGTGCTTAGGCTTAGTGAATTTTCATAGGATTTTACAGTGATGAACTTTTTGGAGAACTTTTGCATGCAACTTTTGATTTTTGATTATGTGTGTCTGTGTTTTCACAGTTTTGTTATATAGTATAGTATCATTGATATTTGCCTGTTGCATGAATAATTATAGGGTTTAGCACATATAAGTTTTTAAGAGTCTCCTACCTGTTCATTTAGCATAAATCTTGCAAGTGGGGGAGGTGATATATGTTGATTTTCTAGATTTCTGCTACATTTATGAATAGTTATATAATTCTACAGATGTTGGTATGGTTATTGTAAAGGATTCAAGGGATCTTTTACCCAATACCGAGCAAAAAGTCTTAAAGGAAGGGACGAATGTAATAATATTGCTAGAATTTTTGCTCTTGAAATAAGATGCCTTTATATTTCATTAATTAATATCTTTGGCAAGTTAGTAATTTCAAACATATTCACATATATAGTGTGCACTAAATCAACTTAGTCTGTAATTGTCAGTTGACACATAAAACAGAGTTATTTATCGAAAACATATGTCACTCATTTACCACCAGAATTACACGTGAGTGGAATTATTCTAATTGCATCATTTGATTTAAAGTAACCAACCATTTTGTTAATTACACAAGTTCAGGGCCATGATCACGCGTTATTGTGCATGATATTCACTTACCTTTAAAAGAAACCGGGGAACCCTGTAAGTCAGACTTGCATTAGATTCCAGAGATCGAGGGTACATCTGAGTTCCTAGACAGCTGAGAGGCTGGATAGGGTGGAGAAGTGGTTTTAGCTATATAGTATTGTAATTTGTGCTATGCTTGTATACCTGTATTCAGTTATATGCTATATAAAATGTAGAAGCGAACTATGCATTATTATTCCTGGTAAGACAAACGTCTTAAGAAACTGGAAGAAGTAAATACACAACGTGAAGCAGAAGTAAAGACAGCTAGAGACAAATTCTAGACGATCACAAGGCTACAGAAATATGTAGTAAGAAAAGATGCATGGGTTCTACGTAGGATGTGGCGACTGGTTTGACAACGTCCGCTCTCCAAGTCAGACAAAAGACCTATGGTGCTACATATTAAGTCCTTCGTTATATTTAATTGATTGGTAATATAATATTTTACATTAGTCACCCATTAGTTTGTGTTGTGTTTAGTCAATATTATTTAATTGACAGCCGATCTTTTAAGTTCCATAAATAACATAAATACAGTTCACAAACACAGAGTTCAGTACAAAATATTACACGCAAATTTAAATATGGGTTGCAAACTAAGTCTAAAACGCAATCTGTTTGTTTTATTGGTACCAGTATATCTGCAATGATGGTGAGTGAAATAAAAGGCAAATGATATAAATCGCATATATTTGTGTAGCAAACAGAAACATTAAAATCAGCCTTCGATCTACATCGTCGGTATTCGCCTTCACATCCTTTTAAGAAGGAACTATTATTTTATATGGAGTGGGTTTTTAATTTTGTGTAGCAAACAGAAACGTTAAAATCGGCCGTCAATGTACATCGTCGGTATTCACCTTCACATCTTTTAAAAAAGGAACTATTTTCTTATGTGGAATGAGGTATTAATTTCGTGTTGCACCATATCTGAAACTGGTAACGGAGGTCCTCAAAGAAATCTAGAACCCGATATGCTGCGGTTCCTTGTCACCGTTTAAAAATATCCCCGTTTGCAACGAAACCATTATAATTTAAACACATATACCTCAGTTTGTTTTTATTTGACTATCTCTCTTACATGGTAAATCTAAACTATTGACTTGGGTGAAACCTTAATGGCATATTAAAGTAATTATTGGATAGTAAATAATCAATGTATATTTTTTTCTGATTTGTACATAGTATCACAAAACGTTTTCTCGGTTACTTAGTAATTATCGGATAGAAACTTCACCTTCTGCTTACTGGGCGGACTATAAATTAGCGGTAATAGAAGCTAGCACATTAGGGATCAGATAAAGTTGCCTACAAATACATTGTATAAATACATACCTTTTAATCTGGTTAACAGTAATCATCAGTTTTTATCATGATTAAAAGTATAACAGATTTCCTCCACAATACAAGTTTACATGGATGTAAGAATATTCCTGAGAAATCCAGATCCAAGATCAACAGGTAAGACTAGAAATGTCCGAACTTACGAAATTGCTGGGTTTTTTTGTGGTAAAATTGAATTAACTCCGTTCATCCTGTTTGGACAGAGATCTCTTGGTTTAATTTTAAAGTAGCTAAGTCTCTAACTCAATATCATCCAAATTCTTCGACATTGAAAACACGATTTATTTGTCGCTTTAAATCAACATTAATGTTGTGATCTTACCGAGAAAAAATGGCCTTCTGATATTCAATATTTAAGACAAAATAAACATTTTACAATTGGTACACGAATCGTGTACCATAATGCGTTTCAGCGCCATTTGTAATAAGGGACTCGAAAAACGAGGCTAGGCATATTCCAAAAGTCATGTCAAACGGTGACGCTATATTCTTATCTGGAGGGTATAAATGCCCAATAAATACTATCGGCGTAGACTGGAAAAACCAAACGCTAGAGATTGAAATTCTATTGAGAATACTGGCGTATGTCGCCGAACCTAACTGATTAGAAATTACAGTAAAAACAGAAACGATTGAATGTAAATCAATTTATATACATTCATATTACATTATTGTATGCGTTGCGACCCATTTGTGTCAATTTCTAGGTCCCAAATATTAGCGACTTAGCTCCTTTAAATGGGAAATGAGATTTTGATTGAAACAGAAACTATCCAGCCAGGTTGTAGTCTTTTGGGAATATGTCCATTTCTCCAATGGTAATGTCTTCAATTGAACTAATGTGTGATTGGATAACTTTAAAACTCATCACTCATGGGAAGTTCTAACATTTTTATTTCTCACTTAGATAAAAATATATGTGACAGAGAAGGTAAATTTTTTCTTTTTCGTAAAATGTAACGCCAATTTTCGTGATAATTCACGAGGACGTTAGTCAGAGTCTTGTTTCAATATATTACACGATGTATATAGTGCACTAACTATCCCGCGCGTGCATTCCATCTAGTTTATATAAAAAAAAAGAAAATTAAATTGCAAGCTGCTATTTGAAAAATTGTACGCCAACAGCAAAGAATGACGTTATATTTGTATATTAGGTTATACTAATTTATTTTCTGAATAAAAAACTGGCATTTTTTCCTTTTTTGGAAAAAGGGCTGTCGATTAAACAATTTATTCTTATTTCTTTTACTTTGTTATTCTTTTAGAATTATATGGATATTGGTCGTGCTTACCTTTGTTTGTGTATTGTGGGTATACGTTATCAGACTCTACCAAGAGGTGGTGAAGTACAAAACATTAAGTACGACCAAATTTGAGCACAGACATTCTCTAGAATTTCCCTCAATTACGATTTGCACACCGTTACACGATACAAGTAAATTCAACATCAGCGAGGAATATGAAGACTTTATGATTGGAAAGGGTACATGGGATACATTTAAAAACTTAGTGGCAACCAATATATCTGTTACTAATATTACACCAGAGATGGCCCGAACTTTTGATGTTAAAGATGTATTTTTAGAGATGACATGGAACATGGAGAAGTTAAACCCGTCGTCTTATCTACAACGGGTATCCACTATCCATCCCGAATGTGTAGGATTCAATACAAATGAAACCTTTATCTCATCCTCCGTCGGAATCCATACAGGGCTACGTATTTTAGCCAATGTACATCAAGACCGAGCCCTGGCCGGACCGTATTCTTCATCATCTATTGAGGTGAGTTAATTTACATTTTTCACATTCCACACCCTGCACATTTTTAGCACCCTATTAGTATTACACCATAATTTTATGGATATATTCAAAATATCTTTGTGGAAATTTGTTTGTGATCTATATTTAATTTTGTATACCTGAGTGAGATTTATCTGTTAGCTTTTTACCAGGGAATTATAACTGAATGACTCGGGGCTTGAATCAGGTACTAAGTGAGAGGGGCGCAATGACGGACTTTGCGTCATGGTTTTGTATTTTTGCGCCCCCTCGGAAATGGCAAACAATCACGCGGTTTCAATGCGGTTTTCAACATTATAATCATAATATTACTCGGCGGCACTGGGAGGGAACCCCCCGACCCGCACACACATATAAATACTGTTTTTATTTTTATTTTATTGATTTTCTTTTGGGGAGTGGGGGTTGGGGGGGGGGGTCCCGACGGGGTCTTGTTCCTCATGCAAAATCATGGGTCACCACGCCCCTGCTTTGATTTGACCAGTGGCGTGTGAGTCGGTGTTAAATAAAAAGTAAAATGAAAAATGTGACAGTTTGATAAATTCATAAATTCACGATTAGCGGTTAATAAAAATTATAAGTAGCTTATGTCGTTTCCGGATAAAGAAGGTGTAGATATTTTATGTTCATTGTTTTTATTATGTCATTTTTGTGCTTTATTGTATCAATATATTTAAATGCGTTCTACAGGGAAACATGCCATGGTATTTAGTATTTCAATAGTAAATGTGTTTAGTTGTGTATTTAGAAATATGGTTTTTTTCAAAATGTAGAAAGATAAAATGTTTGTTTTATTTAAGATATTCATACACACGCCCAGGACTAGTTTTCACAGATTGAATAAAGGCATACTTGTTGCTCCTGGTACATCAACCTCGATCACCATGAATACACACGAAGTGAGTTTTATTTGTTCATTCTAAATACATTGTAATAACAGCAAACCATTAATGTCTTCCTTGAAAATCACTGCAAATTTTCAAGAATGGGGTTCTTTACTGCTTTGCTTAAAATGAGATAAATAAGGCAAAACGCAATAATTGGGCTAATTCTTTTAGCTAACAAATGCATGTTGTACCTTTGAATTAGTAAAGTGTTTTACTGACGTAATTGCAAATATTTTATTACAGTATAGCTTTCTGCCACACCCCCACATGATAGCCGAAGATGAATATTGTATAGACACGAATGAAGATTACGATAGATTGTCATGTCGTGTATTGTGGATATTAGATAGAATAGAAGAAATATGTAATTGCACTTATGGCAACGTTTCAGCTACTAACGGTATGTCACAATTTGTGGACAATAGATAATAAATGATAATACTATATGATCATACAATAGGTTCTACTTCTTCTCTTTAAACCCCCACTGTTAACCAAATTACGTGGATTTATCCAAAATAGGATGTTCAACATCACAGGGGCTAGACAAGGGAGCTCAAATGAGCATATTTATATATTTTGACATGACTTCTTCGCCAAAGCCAATTGACATAATATTTTAACCCAACTCTGTCATCACATGACTTATTCGCCAAATCAAAGAAAATTCAATAAAAAATGTTATTTTATAGTTGGACTCTGTGATGCCCAAGAAATGGTTACATGTTTTAACCCACAGTTTGGTAAGTATGGGCGTAACTTATTATATTGTCTATCTATATATATATTTGTGACTATCGTTTGTCTGTCTGTCTGTCTGTCTGTTCGGGGTTGGCGGCTACACTAGGTCTGCCCCGAGTCTGAAATTTGGGGTATAAGGTTACCTCGGACCGGGGAGTAACATAGGCTAGGTGGCGTTAGTCTACCGCTTCCGGTTTTGGAGTTATGACCCCAGAGCGAAGCCGGTCTGTTCGGGGTTGGCGGCTACATCTGCCCCGAGTCTGAAATTTGGGGTATAGGGGTAGCTCGGACCGGGGAGTAACATAGGCCAGATGGCGTTAGTCTACCACTTCCGGTTTCGGAGTTATGACCCCCGAGCGAAGCCGATCTGTTCGGAGTTGGCGGCTACACTAGGTCTGGCCCGAGTCTGAAATTTGGGGTATAGGGGTAGCTCGGACCGGGGAGTAACATAGGCCAGGTGACGTTAGTCTACCACTTCCGGTTTCGGAGTTATGACCCCCGAGCGAAGCCGGTCTGTTCGGGGTTGGCGGTTACACTAGGTCTGGCCCGAGTCTGAAATTTGGGGTATAGGGGTAGCTCGGACCGGGGAGTAACATAGGCCAGGTACCGTTAGTCTACCACTTCCGGTTTCGGAGTTATGACCCCCGAGCGAAGTCTGTCTGTTCGGGGTTAGCGGCTACACTAGGTCTGCCCCGAGTCTGAAATTTGGGGTATAGGAGAAGCTCGGACCGGGGAGTAGCATAGGCCAGGTGGCGTTAGTCTACCACTTCCGGTTTCGGAGTTATGACCACCGAGCGAAGCCGGTCTGTTCGGAGTTGGCGGCTACACTAGGTCTGGCCCGAGTCTGAAATTTGGGGTATAGGGGTAGCTCGGACCGGGGAGTAACATAGGCCAGGTGACGTTAGTCTACCACTTCCGGTTTCGGAGTTATGACCCCCGAGCGAAGCCGGTCTGTTCGGGGTTGGCGGTTACACTAGGTCTGGCCCGAGTCTGAAATTTGGGGTATAGGGGTAGCTCGGACCGGGGAGTAACATAGGCCAGGTACCGTTAGTCTACCACTTCCGGTTTCGGAGTTATGACCCCCGAGCGAAGTCTGTCTGTTCGGGGTTAGCGGCTACACTAGGTCTGCCCCGAGTCTGAAATTTGGGGTATAGGAGAAGCTCGGACCGGGGAGTAGCATAGGCCAGGTGGCGTTAGTCTACCACTTCCGGTTTCGGAGTTATGACCACCGAGCGAAGCCGGTCTGTTCGGGGTTGGCGGCTACACTAGGTCTGCCCCGAGTCTGAAATTTGGGGTATAGGGGTAGCTCGGACCGGGGAGTAACATAGACCAGTTGGCGTTAGTGTACCACTTCCGGTTTCGGAGTTATGACCCCCGAGCGAAGCCGGGTATCCTGCTAGTATTATATAACTCTCATGCACATGGTGTACTAGTTTGACGATAGTGAATGTCATTTAAGAATTAGATTTATATTGCAAAATAATGTTGATTTATGGCAAGTTCACGAATGTGCTCCTTCATTACCGCCAGGTATCAATCATTTTTTACGCGCCATATTCTTTAAATCACAAACACTGAAAATGCCATAGGTCACATGCCTAGCATCAAACGTCTCCACACTAAAGATGCGAAAGCATTCTGTCAATCTGTTAACATATATATATACATAAGTAACCATGGTAATTCAAATGTTTCTAGTGGTAAGATGAATGTTAATATAATTATTTTATATTTCGTCCTATGGGATTTTTACCCATTTACAATTTTTGCGTAATATCAACGTTTAATTAATACACCATCTTTTTTGTATCTGGACAGGAAAATATTTCACTGTGTCTGAGAATGCAAGTCTTACAAAGTGTCTACGACCCTGCAGATTTGTCATTTACGACACTAAAACCAGTTTTTCTTACTTTCCGTCGGACTCCTTGTCACGCTATTTGGTCAAAAAAGGGATAATAGATTCTGTCGACTATGCAAGGTTTGTACAACAAAAATTAACATAATAATAAACATTTCTTTAGACGAGCTAGATCTGTCAGTGGCTATTCATGGAACATAACTGAATTCCTAGTAGACAATGTGCTCTGAAACAACGCAACGAGTCGATCTCAACAGCAACAGTTTTAGGCAGGCGCATTGTCATTAGGTTTTCTATAAAGAGAATCTTAAAAAGTGATTTTTTTCTGGGCTACAGTGAGTAAAATTTCTGCCCCCGGAAACATTTTTCTTTGGTAATATTATCCTGACCCTGGTTCCAAATTACCTACCAGTCCAAGCTGCTGTTGAAAGATCACATACATTTCGTTGTGTTTTCACTAGCCGAGAATGTTCACAGGAAAATTTACATAACTAAATTGCCCCTACCCGGGATCTCCACCACATCGCGTTATGCTAAAGACGATAATCTAAATAAATGCACAGCTGAAAATAGACTGTGTATCACTGGACAGCTGATACCATTCACTTACGATCCTGGGCCGTTTAATAATGACATTTTATGTCATTCAATCATATAAGTAGTTATTATTATAAACTAATGTTTAGTATGTATAGAAAGTGGTTAGACATTATACAGTTGTCATTAATTAGCCTGTAAGTGACTAGCTGTAAAAGGTGTCGTTACTGGGGTAAGAGTATGTCTTATTATAACACCCATCACTATTGAATACACAAACCTGGACAGTAGCGGTGGATACCATTCAATAGTCACGGTTTTAACACCTTAGTAAACTAACACCTACTTAATGACTACTACTAGATTACTAACTATTGTAACTGACTAATACACACTATGTCCTTAAAATGACGACTGTGATCTGTGAGTTTCGTATATTTTCATTTATAAAAGTTAATTGTTGCTTACTCAACGACATCAACTTTATCGCTATCTACTTCAGTAGTAAGAATAACTCTTGCTTTCCTTTTTTGCCCCATTTCCTCATTCTTCAAATATATATTTGTTATCAATCAAACCGTAGCAAAGATCTCCGTGTTAAATTACATTTGGAATGTGTCTAACCAGGTCTATCTCATATGTAATATTGGTTGATACCCACATTGTCCTTTACGGTCTTAGGCGTATTTCTAAGGCGAAATGTTGTGACACTATTGGGACAGATGTGACACTTTCTTCGACTCCACGTTGTGATAACTATTTCCAATGATCAATTGAGTCTGAAACACTGTTTATGTTGTTACTAAGTTTATATAACAAATACAGCAAAGTACAAAGTTAAATCTATGATAGCACTTTTCGAGTTATTAAAATATCCACGGTCTGAGTTTAATAACCTTTCTAACTCAGACCCAACGGCTTAAACGTGGCAAGAGCCACATACTTCTAGCTAGTTCTATATGATGTGGTCACCCTAGCCTCTAAGCTGAGGAGGCTATGGGTATAAGGCCCCCCCTGAGCTCTAAGTGATGGTCTGATGGTAAATCAAACAAGCTCTCTCCTATAGAGGAAGTATAATGCGTCATCTATTAGGGCGGAACAATTACCATTTTTGTGTATGTGTTTCGTATAGGTACCGTTTTACGTCAACACTATTCTAGTTAATTGTACCAATCCGTGCACGAGATGACTGGACTATAGTACTCTACTTCCAGACATGGATACTTACATAATTGTTGGTGAGTTAGTCTAAGATAGTAGTAGCATAATGCAAGCTACTTCATTACCTTAGTTTTCGTCACACATCATGTAGGTAAAGAATTTCTATATTAAACAGAACACCCTTTTTTTTAGAAATAAAGAACTAAAACATAAAAAAAATGTCTTTCTATAATTTTTTAGGCGAAACCTATTAGAATTGTATATAAACTTTGAGAACTTGGTTGTATGGAAAACAGAAAGTATCGCTGAATATAATACAATGTCAATTTTAGGTAAGTCGGGGCGCATAGTTCAAAATACCATTTATTTGTTTATTGAATAAATATTTTTTCTAATATTGGTATCTAGCATTTAGTGGGAGGGACCCGTTGGCCAAATTCTAAATCATATGAAAGTCAAAGCCATAGAACAAAAGAAAAATTGTAAAGGTCAAGTAGAGAGAATATGTATGGTAGTTGTTTTCTGTTGTAGGTAATCTTGGAGGACATATGGGTTTATTTGTGGGAGCAAGTATGATTACGGTTGTTGAACTACTGGAAACATTGGTTTTCTTCTTTATTGCCTTTGCTGCCCGAATGGGTCGTCCAAGGGCCGTTGAACCAGCAGTACTTGATACAACGAGTATGGACAAAAAAGACGAAAATCTTTCATAAATTACATAATTATAATACACGAGATGTGTCCCTATTAATTAATATTTATGTTTGAAATGAAATGGCATATCACTCAACAAGTTTCAGCAAAGCAAGTGTGTTTCAAATGTTTTCTATCCTTTTATAGTTTTATATTCACGTTCATCTTTTGCATGTTCATGGAAACTGATTTAACGATTAAGATTATTACATTTAAATATTGTATATGAATAATAATAATAATAATAATAATAATAACTTTATTTAATGAGGCAACTTATTTAGTTTGCAAAAAAACTAATCTTTCATAAGACCCCCATAAGCTACAAAGACAATTACACAATATAATTACACAAAATAAGATAGACTGCAGTTGCAAGTTGAATATACACGAACAATAAGTTGAATATAAATTTATAAATGAGTTTTCAGTTTAATCTTAATATTTTCAACAATTTTACACATCTTTATATCAAAAGGCAGATTGTTCCATAAAATACATCCATAATAATGAAAAGTACGTTTCATGGATTCTGTTTTGCATTTCGGAAGGATTTACTAGTATAATGTATATTCATGGTTAACTTTTGTATACTGATTCTTACTGATTAACGACTAAGAATATTACATTTTAATATTGTATATTATCAATAATGGTATAATTTGTGAGCTGCTCCCACAAAACAGGCTCTTGGTCAATTTTAAAAAAATATAGCTGGCAGCATATATGAATAGTCCACGGCCTAAGCTTTCCAAAAATGCAATTATTAAGTTTGTTGTATCATCTGGAGTTGAGTTCGGCTATTTCACAGCAATAAAAAGGCATACAGTTTATGCTTTTGTGCCCGTAGTAAAAAGGCAGTTTTGCGACAAGCGCCTGGTTTTATGGGCGTGGGTCACATTTATATTCATGTTCAACTTTTGTATACTGATTCATACTGATTTAATAACTATTATTATATGTTAATATTGTATATGAATAATGGTATAATTTGTTTGAATTTTAGACATGTAGCAATAACCAATATGAATACAAACACGAACCATTTTAAGTACTACTGATGATCGTGATATATTGTATCTGACACTTTAAGGTCATAACAGTACGAGCCAGATCTGTCTTCAGAGTTGGGAGTTACCCCCTCCCAATTTCCGTACGCGATATATGCCGTAGTTGTTAACCGATTGGGACTATCAGAGGATACGCGTTGTTGATTTTCAGCCTCTGGGAATTTCTGTTCCGCAGATATTTGATGAGTCAGTAAAGGCTTTTGAGCACAATAAATATCACATTTATTGAAGGCATAAATGATCCTAATCAAATTTAGTCCACATCCACGCTTTTATTTCGGGTAAGTTGCTGTGTATATTTGAAGTGGACGTCATTTTGCACACCCACTTGTGTCATATTAATATATATAGATTGCCACCCACAGCCCGAGACGTATGAATAAATTGCTCTATAAATAATTATCAACGGCTTATTCAAATCTTTAAATTCATAACCTGTGACATAAATCCATTATTAAAACATTCCGACATAACCAAGTTATCTTTTTGCTAGGTAATAACCTCGGGATGGAACATGTCGTTGAACGTATCTACAAATGAAATGGGGTTTGACATACTGCTTTATTGCAGCATACAGATATGAACACTTGTCTAACAAGGACGAAACCCAGAACACAGAGGAACAATGAAAATAAACCTCTGAATATACACAAACCAAAGTTGGAGAAAGGAACACCGAAAGACAAAGTGAATAAAATCCAGAATGTGCACGACCAAACTGGGAGATATGTATGGTGGCTTAGCCCCCTTCTCAACGCCATGGGGGCAATATGCTCAGATAGGACAAGCCCAAGCACACCGACCAATATCTCAGTACACCCCACTAACAGGATCCATGTCAGTGTCAATTCAGGAATTTACACACATTATTCAATCGCCAGAACCAGTAACACCAAAGACAATCCAAGGACGCGACGCTGAATAGCTTCGTCGATTTTTTAACCAAGTTAGCACTGCCTATAAAACTCAACGCAAAATCAAATGTGTCTACAGATGAACAGTGTGCAATCAATTCTTTGAAATATTACGATAGGATTTTTATTAATGGAAAATATAAGGAGGGACACTATGGGAGCAACGTCCATAACATACTTGACGTAAAACGAACATTAACTATCATAGATAAAAGACCAATTTGTTTAATAAACGGGTAACCAAGTCTATAAGAATGATCTGACGGACAACAAACGGAATCATTGCGGAAATTAGAGTACTAGGCAAGTCAGTGGCCACGTGCTAGAAATAAAATCGGTTATTCGTTTTGACATAGACTTTGTTAATACACTGTCCCAAAACCTAAATGATTGTGACTTTTTCATAATCATGGATGCTTGTGACATGTACGGCAATAGTTTCCATGACCTATGCCGTAGAATATTAGATGGACAAACAACCTGAATGCAATCTTGAGAAACTTAAATAAAATATCACCCCCAAAGTCATACGAATAAATATAACTAACAATATTTATAAATTACATGCAAATTCTTGTTATAGCAATGGGTACCATGGCGGCACGACATGGGATTAATAAGGAAAAATTGTACTTAATTGTAGAAATTAAGTATGGTGTAGGCTACGACATATTATATTTTGATTCCCACGGAAACCAGATATTTTTACCAAATTATAATGTCAGCCATTCACTCATTTGATTTAAGTGCATATGAGACAATATGACTTCTATACAATGTGCGAATCTAATAATTAGCCAAAGATATTATTAATACAATGCTACTAATTTAAAGACAAAATTCTACCAATTTTGCTAAAATGGATTTCGAATCAATTCCCCGCCCACAGAGAATATAGGTCATTAACCAAATAGTAATAACTCAACCGCTTCGGGTTATTGGGATTCGACAGTTCTCAATGAAATGTATTGGAAGTTATTCACATTCGTTATTTTATTGTATGCTAGCAATTAGATCAGTAATGTATCTTTTATATTTAATTGATTGGCAAAATGATGTTTTATAGACTGTACATTAGTCACACATTAATATGTACTGTGTATAGTCAATATTTGTAAAATACAACCCATCATCACAATGTTACAATTCTATGGAATACAATTACTGCTTATTACTGAGCGACGTTTCGACGAGGCTTCTCTGGCCATTATCAAGCTATGATAAAATATAAAAATATAATAAAACAATATAATACATGTACACAAAAATACTTGGTTAATGCTGACTAACCAGACACTCGTCTGATTAACCAGGGCTTTGATATTTGACCATTGGACTCTATGGCGGGGGTTGGAGATTAAGTGTTCAGCTGCAGTTGAGTTGTTGACAAACTCGAGGCTAACTACAAAATATTGCATCCAAATCTTGAACCCGGGTTTTTTGGCGTTGACGCCATCTGTATTAAGGGGGGTTTATACAGGGCGCGAACGCGAACGCGGCTTTTCGTCCTGGAATGCTCTAGTCATTTTTAGAGGCCCCGTTCATACAGAGCGCGAACCGGAACCCGAACAAATATTGGTTTGCGCGAATGACCGCCTTGATTGCCTCCCGAGCGAATTTTTCAGAAGTTCGCGCGAATTTTTCCCAATGAACAAATCAGCGGGCACTTCCCATGACATCATTTCCACGAATAGAAACCGTTAGGCCTGATCGTTCCCACTAGCGTGCAATATTCACAGTCGTCTCTAATCCATTGCAATATGTAGTCAAATTGCTCCTCTGTCATTCAAAAATATAGTTCTTCTACGAGGTGATGGTATTCTCCAAACTCACTTCTTCTCTGTAAAATTTCATGCACTGATATTCGCCTCTTTCTCTTCCTTTGTTGTTTTATGTACAAATACAGTGCCAAGATCTAGTCTGTGTCTGATTCCACCTGGGCCATGATTGCAAATGACAAAATTTATCTCTCACTGCTAGAAAAAGACAAGCCATCACGAAAGTCGTCGACGGTTTTCCGCGTTCGGGTTCGCGCCCTATTTGAACGGTGAAACTGCTCAAAACTCTGTTTAAACAGGGCTTAATATGGTGAATCTAAATTGTAAACGGTTTATTGGCCAATTAATGTTTTTATTGTATAAAATCTTCTGGTCGGACAAACAAATCTCATTAGTAGTTATCACGATTAAAAGTATACCATATTTTCTTAAATATTGGTGGCGAACTAAGGTTAACAAGACCATCTCTCTATTGACTTTAAAAATTGTATTACAACCAGTTAGTGAAATAAAGGACGTCGCACAGTTTCTATAGGATAAATCGCAGCAATTTGTTTAGTTAACAGAGAAGTTGAAATCATGCTTCTGATCTGCATCGTGGAAATTCGCCTTCACATATTTTACGAAAGAATTCCTTTCGTATAATGTAAAGTGGATAATAACTTAGATATTTTCGTATTCCAGAATAGGTGTAAATTTCACAAGGCTGTGGAACTGGTAGTGGAGGTTTTGTAAGCAATCGTGACGCCATCTCTCCTATATAATAAATTTAAACTGCTAGCGAGTGACACTTTGTTGGTAGAGTAAAGTAACTAATGGATGATAAATAATCAATGTATATAGGTTTTCACATATTATTATTGTAAATCATTTTATCAGTTACATAGTGATGATCTGACAGAATAAGCACATTTTGCTTATGGGACGCGACTATAAATTAAGGACAGTATCTGTTATAGAGAAACGACAACATTATTTGCACGAACAGGCAAACAATCATCATCAGTAATTATGATTAAAATTATAACAGATTTTCTCCATAATACAAGTTTACATGGATGTAAGAATATTCCTGAACAGTCCAGATCCAAGATCAACAGGTAAGAATCTAAATGCTACTAACTCTGAAATTACTAATTTCTTGTTATTTCGCGTACGTTTTGATTAACATTTCGGTTTTGTTATTTCCATTACTCCGATCTTCCTAAAGTCACCATTCCTAAAATAATTAATTTTGTTATAAATATACATAACATTTTGCAGGAAATGCTTACTCTTACAGAAACAAAGGATACAACCATGTATATTAATAGTATTTGCAGGGTGGTACTGTTGCTATTTGTGTCACCGGTCTCTTGTTTTAAGTTCAAAAGAATAAAAACCAGACTTGATTGGTATGAAGTCTATCAACCCAGGTTTAGTCGATTTCTCAAATAGTTGCTGCGACCACAATTGCAACTCACTTTGACCTTATCGGTTATTTAATAATTGTTTTAAAAAATGAATGTCAATCGAGAGAGAGAGAGAGAGAGAGAGAGAGAGAGAGGGCCAATAATGACAACCTGCATACATATACATGTACATGCATTTGATAATACATTACATATAGAGAACACATACATGTACACACAAAAATACAGTTGGACATATATATCTAAAGAGTCCGAGCTACATGTAGTTCCCACCAAATTTGATTTAGATCTCTTATCAAAGGCCAAAAACACATCCATACAACTTTTTCAAGGCTGCAAATTTATTTCTCCGTTAGTAAAATATAACGTCAGTCTCCATAGAAATATATTATGTAAAACATCACGACAAAGTGCCAATTCCATTCTCGACATTAAGAAGGTATTTATGGTAGTTATTTTTAGACTAATGACATTTTCTACTATTGAATTTTCGCATTATTGAAGTTCTGAAGTGAGGCATCTTTCGAGCTATTGAGGTGTAATTTAAGCAAACATGAAATTTATGACATACATTTAAGATCATAAGACAATATATGTTGGCATGTAAAAACAACGTGGCCCCGAAATTAAGTTCGATTATCTTCGTGTTTATTTTATCTTCTGAATAATATGGACTCGTACCCTTTTCCGTCTTCTTGTCGTTTTAATTCTTTTATTTATTTTGTTTGTTATTCTTTTAGAATTATATGGATGCTGGTCGTGCTTACCTTTGTTTGTATATTGTGGGTATCAGTTGTCGGACTCTATCAAGAAGTGGTGAAGTACAAAACATTAAGTACGACCAAGTTTGAGCACAGATCGTTTCTAGAATTCCCCTCAATTACAATTTGTACACAGCCCTATGATACAAGTAAATTAAATCTCAGCCAGGCCCGGGAATTTGAAGAATTTATGGTTGAAAAAGGTGTTTGGAATACATTAAAGAACCCTAAGGCAACCAATTTATCTGATGTTAATATTACACTAGCGACAAGCTTGTCTCCCCCCTTTGATATTAAAGATGTATTTTTGGAAATAACATGGAACTTGAAGAGGTTAGACCCATCTTCATATCTACAACCCGTATCTACTCGCGACCCGGAATGTGTAGGATTCAACACTAAAGGAACAAACGAAACCTTTATCTCATCCTCAATCGGAATTTACACAGGACTTCGTATCCTAGCCAACATACATCAAGACCGAGTCCTGGCCGGCCCTATTCCTTCATCATCTATTGAGGCAAGTTAATTTTTTACATTTATACCATCCCACAACCCGCCTATATTTGCACATTATTAGTGGAACATTAGACATGTAGCCATAATTTCGTGGAGATATTTAAACTATTTTTTAAAAGGTTGTTTGTATGTTTTATCCTGCAATAGAATTCTTATGCTTGCATTTCGCTTCACTGTCATACTTTTGTATGAACCGGATAAAAACCTGTTCACGGTGGTTTTGAGAAGCAAAATATTCAATAATTTTTATAAATATTTGAATGATTTTTCAGATGAAGTCTTAATTTGGGTACCTCATGCTATCAGTGTACGGACATTAACTTTTGTTCAAATTGTTAATGTGCGTAATCTTTGAGTGGCATTTAGCGATCTGGAAACGCATTAACAGAACACAGTTTTCATGGGACACAATCACTAGTTTTATTCTAAAAACGTCGTGCTTTTAGAATAACACTAGAGATTGTATCCCATAAAACCGTGTTCTGTTAATGTGCATTTTACGTTTTCCAAACATTTGACAAAAATGACCCAAAGATATGAAAGCAATAACATAAAGTCATACACAACTTGTTTTTTAAAGTATATCGGGTGTTTTGTAGAAGCTATTTCAATTTTTTTTATGTCGTCTATATTAGGACATTTTAATCTTAAATTTAACCAATTATATAATTAGTATCTCAAACCCATTCATGTACACGCTAAGATTTGCCACATGCCATTCCGACAAGATGGGGGAGGGGGATATTAAAGTTGTTTTACAAATTAATGATTTTGATTCACTACCGTGCCAATGAAATATGACTGTGCACGATTTCCGGATTTTTGTCGATCGTATATGTTTCGGCAGCCGCGATCTGACGAGACAGTCAAGATGGTTAAACAAGTGATTAAAATTGTCCGGTTCAATAGCAATCAAGAACTCTTTTTGATAATAACGACTAGGGTGATTTATTATACTCGCTACTTATTTTACTTATGTTCCGAAACTTAGAATGTAATAAATCTCCATAGAAAGTATATTAATTTAATTATGCATTTATTTATAATTCTTTTAAATGACATTTAAAGATTATATATTTTTGTTATTTAAGGTATTCATTCACACGCCCAGTACTAGTTTTTACAGATTAAATAAAGGCATACTTGTTGCTCCTGGTACATCAACCTCTATCACCATGAATACACACGAAGTGAGTTTTTTGTTCTCATTCTGAATCTATTTGTGTTACAGACATGTAATATCACAAAGCCGATATTACCCGCCTGGAAATAATTCTTCAAGGGTAGTTTTCTTTACTGGCTTGCAAGAAATAAATTAAATATCGACATTATTATGACAAATTTATATTGTATTTTTGTATTACCTTTGGCTGAATTATTGTGAATATTCTATTACAGTATACCTTTCTACCATACCCCCACAAGATAACCGAAGATGAGTATTGTATAGATACAAGTTTAGACAAGAATAAAGATTACAATAGACTGTCATGTCGTGTATCGTGGGTGGAAGATAGAGTAAAAGAAATATGTAACTGCACTTTCGGCGATACTACAAGCGGTATGTCACAATTTGTGTTAACATATAAAATAAAAGGAGTGTATGATCAACGCTTATAAGTTCATGTCTACAATAGTTGTTTTCGCTTTAAAATGATACCTGTGCATAAATTATACAAAATATATTGCTATTGAGATACGTTAAATAACAATAATTAGTGTGTGAAGTAGATTAATAACAATAATTATAATACTATTTCTTTTTAGAGTGGCTGAACATTCAGTCAGTATGACTGCTCTGTGCCGCTTTTGCGGTTGTCACAATGCTTTAGAGATAGCCGTCAACCGCTCATATGTGTTGTTTAATGGCGGAGAGCGGCGGGACATTAAGTAGTATATTGGTAATGCTCGAGGTCATTAGTCTGAGGACTGTATCAATTAGGTCATTAAACAGCTTAGAATACAGACACTATCCCGCGCGCGCATTTCAATAAAATCGCCACGTGAGTCCAATATTTCATCTAGTGTACAAAATATGTACTGTTGGCACATTGCCTGTATCATTATTTGAAATAATGGTATGCCAACATCAGAAGATGCTGCCACATAAGCATTTTAATAAATTTTAGTTCATAAGACTATGTCTGTCTGCCTGTATTATATGCTCGATTTCTAATTCTGAACTGCTTCGATGGATTTCAATATAGCAAGGGTGGTCTTGATTCGGAATGTCGATGTCTGCTACATACTGGAACGGAGGATATGTGCACGATTAATGGGCAAATGTAGACAAGTTCTCACATTTGTATCTTCTTAAACTCCCACTTGATATATGTTAACCAAATTCCGTGGCTTGGTAGTACATGTTCGAATTGCTCGGCACTATATGGGTAAAGCGAAGGGCAGCTTAAATGAGGAGATTTACACTTTTTTTTCATATGACTTATTCTCCTAAATCACTTTAATCTAATTCCGTTAACTAAAGAACATTCAATACATACATGGACGTCGTTTACGATTGGTTGTTTTTTGATTGCAAGATCTGTATAGCGGGTGTCTTGTCCGCAGAATTGTCGCTTTATTTACGTGTAGTGTTGTCCCCATTCACGTACTATAATGTTATAACGTTTGTTTATTGGTGCAGAATGTGATGTCCAAAAAGTGATTACATGTTTTAACCCACAATTTTGTAAGTATGGGCATAACTTATTATTTATTATTAGTATATAAATCTCATTTGTACATCGTGCACCTCACACTGATCAGCAGTGAATATTCGCTAAGCCGCTGCAATCACTGATAGGGAAGACATCGGCGAGTTTAATGAGCTCGCGATATTAACTTTTTTCCTTCTGCAAATTAAATTCTAGAACATTTTTTGGATGTGAACAATGCACGCGCCGTGGAGCCCCAATGATTGACGCTCCTCGTGATCTGACGCATCTTATACAGAGTTAATAGAAAGCTTTGGTAATACACAGATCGGGTGTATGAGCATGAAGATAGTAAATGTCATTTTGACGTAGATTTTTATTATATAATAATATTGATGTATGGCGAATGTTTATAAACTTAAGAATGAGTCTACGAGTGTGCGCTTTCATTACGGTCACCCACTGCAGCCATCCTCGTTTTATTTTTTTGTTGTTGAAAAACAAACCATTATCACATGTCATAGAATTTTGTGTTATATCAACAATTAATAAACACATGATCTTTTTATATCTGCGCAGCGGACTACTTCACAAAGTCAGAGAATTCAAGCCTTACAAAGTGTCCACGACCTTGCAGATTTGTCATTTACGATACTAAAACCAGTTTTTCTTACTTCCCTTCGGACTCCATGTCACGTTACTTGGTGAGAAATGGGATAATAGATTCTGTCGACTATGCCAGGTTTGTACAACAAAACATGAATGAATAATAAACATTCCTTCGAATAGGGGATGATGTTAAATATGATTTTTTTCGGGGTCCCCTGTACACAACCCTGAAGATCGTGGGGGTTAAACTGAGCGTGATTTTTTTTTATAAACAATATTTTATTCAGTTTGTCTGATAATTCAGATGTCATTTAAAATCATTATTTTTCCCTGTATAAACCTCATCTTGACTCTATATTAGGGATTTTGGGGCCACTGAGGTCATTGGTGACGTTGAATTTAAGATTTGAAAATCCTAAATGGCGGAAATCCAAGATGGCGTTCCATACGTGTGGATATTTTCTCAGTGTGTAATCGACCTGTCTAAAATTTTACTGTTGCATTTTCTTGTCCATAAAACTTTTTATGTATGCTTATCTATAGTTGTCTGGGGGGTGGGGGGTGGGGTTGGGGTGGGAGTGGGGGGTGGATGGGGTGGGGGTGAGGGGTGGCCGAATGGTTAGCACGCGCGCGCTGTATCATACGGTCTGTCACTGAGTCAACTGGCGGGGTTTCGATTCCCCGGTTGTACGTGACAAGGAGTAGGGTCGCCTGTCCAACCTCGTGGGTTTTCTCCGGGTCCTCCGGTTTCCTCCCACTGCTAAAGACCCCTCCGCGCAAGCGAATTATTGAAATAAAATTGAACCATGCGTTAGTCCCGAAATGACCTAGTTTGTGTCGAGTGGACGTTAAACCCCATTTCTATCTATCTATCTATCTATCTATCTATCTATCTATCTATCTATCTATCTATAGTTGTCTATACACTCACCTATGTTTGTCTATAAGTGCTTATTGTGTGCTTGCAAACTAAAGTAATAATGTAATGACCTCGCCAGTGGAATTGTATATACAAAACAGCTGGATATAGGGGTATTAATATTTACAGATATACTGAAATGGGCATTAATGTCCTATTGCAAGGTTGTTCGTACTATCCGAATAGCAATATGTTGTCCCTTACCAAACCAACCGAACGTCAATGCGTTGGTGCTTATCAATGATAGTGGTGGGGGGGGGGGCAGAAACAAAAATAATGTCCTTCCATAATTTTTCAGGCAAAACTTATTAGAATTGTATATAAACTTTGAGGACATGGTTGTATGGAAAACAGAAAGTATAGCTGAATATAATACGATGTCAATTTTAGGTAAGTCGGGGCGCATAGCTCAAAATACTATTTATTTGTGTACTGACTATACATTATTTTATAATATTGGTATCTAGCATTCAGTTGGAGGAACTCGTTGACCAAATTCCAAACTTCAATTAATCCTACGAAAGTCAAATCCATAGACCAAAAGAAAAATTGTAAAGGTCTAATAGAGAGAATATGTATTGTGGCTGTTTTCTGTTTTAGGTAGTCTTGGAGGACATATGGGTTTATTTGTTGGAGCAAGTATGATTACGGTTGTTGAACTACTGGAAACATTAGTCTTCTTCTTTATTGCCTTTGCTGTCAGAATGGGTCGCCCTAGAATCGTTGAACCAGCAATACTTACTAAAACGAGTATGAGCAAAAAGGACGAAAATCTTTCATAGATTAACAATGACCAGTAAATCTAATTTTAATGTATATATAAGGCGTTTCTTTATGTGAAAATTTACTAATGTTTGAACTAATGTATTTGAAAAGATCCTATATAAATAAAAAAAAGTCACAACTGTTCATCTTTTCAAATCGAGATTAATTCTGTCGTAAAAATTATCGAATTTTCACTACCCGATTGTGGACCGTATGCCGTTTTTGACTGGATTTTTGAATTAATTTCCAGTCCGTAGAGAATAAGTTATTAACCAAATAGTAATAACCCAACGGCTCATGGCTATTGTGATCAGTATTTCCCAATATGCGTTTAATCAACTTACTTTAACAACAAAATGTATTTGGTAGTTATCCACATTCGTTATTTTATTGTCTCTTAGCAATTCAATCAATTAAATGACATTAGTTGGTAATGTGATATTTTACATTGTGTATATAGTCAATATTTGTAGTAGAAAACCTATCGTCGCACTATTATGAAAATGTGAACATTTTAATAAAGCTTTCATATAAGGCGTATACAAATGAAAATCCAAGGTTTATTTAGGAAAGTGCTTTTTACGGAATCGTAATAAGGTCAAATAATAATAAAAAAAAATATTAACCCCCAAATTTAGAGATAGTAACTCCTAATTCGGAGATAGTAATTTCTAATTCAGAGATAGTAACTCCTAATTAGGATTTATTATCACCTTATTCCGGATAATTAGGACCAAATATATTTCAAAAGATAGTCAGCAAAACGTCAAATACACCCACACAGCAGCTTTGTCTCAACTGCAGCTTATCCGAAAAAACTAGGATCCTTGAATAAATCTAATCTCTGGGATTCATCCTCTTATGACCCCATTGCTTCCAACCAAATTTTGAAGAAAAAAAATCTGATTAAACCTATAACCTCTATCACATTCGCAGGGTTTACAACAAAGGGAGATAACTCGAGAACGGAATGCTGCGGATAATGAATATCGATAAGGATCGATGACCCATGCTTCAAGCCAAATATGGCTTGTTTTGTGTGGTATAGGGAGGCAAATGGAATAGTCAGAAATTTTTCGCGATATAACTCTCTATTTTTGAAACAAATCAAATGATATGTCTATTTTGCATCATTATGTTGTAGTATTGGGTAGTATGTAGTGGTATTGGGTGGTATTGGGTAGTATTGGGTAAATCGTCCAACCCATCAAAAAACTACTGCCTTTATCGGGTTGACAAGTTTTGTTTTTCATAAGGGGGCATAACTCTGGAATTGAAAGTCGCTGATCGCTGAATATTGATAGGGTTCAATATTTCTTGACCCCAATTTAAATTATTGGGGTCATCCGAGGGCGAAGCCTATCGATTTTTAGCATCATGCAACCTTTTGAACGCGATAACTACAGTTTTTAATGGAGTTCCTCTCTCCTAATTGACGGTTTAATTCTCAATTAGTGTTATTGTTGGATGATAAATAATCAATGTATACGGTTTTGGATTTTACTCACGGGGCGGACTATAAATACATGATCATATAAACTATTATTACATCATTTGAACCAACAATTACATTGTACAAAACCTTTTGATCGGACAAACATAATTCATTAGTAGTTATCATGATTAAAAGTATAACTGATTTTCTCCATAATACAAGTTTACATGGATGTAAGAATATTCCTGAACAATCCAGATCCAAGTTCAACAGGTAAAAATCTATATGTGTACATTTGGCGTACGTTTTGATTAACAGTTCGGTTTTATTATTTCCATAACTCCGATCGTTCTAAGTAATCATTCCAAATATAATTAATTTGTTATGCATAAATACCTGTTTCAGAAACAAAGGATACTACCATGCATATTAATATTATTTTCAGCATGGTACAGTCGCTATTTGTGCCATCGGCCTTTTGATTTAATTTTAAAGGGAAATCAACCCAGATTTAGTCTATTGGGACCATTCTATTTCTCAAATGGTTGTTGCGTCCACTCGGCGCAAACTAGGTCATTTCGGGACTAACATACGGTTCAATTTTATTTCAATAATTCGCTCTTTGGCAGTGGGAGGAAACCGGAGGACTCGGAGTGTTGCGTCCACTATTGCAACAAACTTTGAACTTATGGGTAATTTGATCATTTTAAAACATCACGAATGGCACCATACCCGTTTTTGGCTGGCGAATTTATTTCTCTGTTGGTAAAATGTAATGTCAGTCTTCATAGAAATATATTATCAATATCATCACGACAAAGTATAAAGATGTCTAGGGCTGCGCCCACGCTCGCAGTTCTGAGCTGGGAAAACCTTTGAGCTATTGAGGTCTAAATTAAGCAAACATGAGTTTTATTACAAAATGTGTTTACAAAAACTATGTGGCCCCGAAATTAAGTTCGATCATCTTCTTTTTTTTATCTTATTTTCTGAATAATATGGACTTGTAAACTTTCCGTCTTACTGTCGTTTTAATTGTTTTATTTATTTTGCTTCTTATTCTTTTAGAATTATATGGACGCTGGTCGTGCTTACCTTTGTTTGTGTATTGTAGTGAAGTACAAAAATTTAAGTACGACCAAATTTGAGCACAGATCGTTTCTAGAATTTCCATCAATTACAATGTGTGCATAGCTCTATGATATAAGTAAATTGAATCTCAGCCAAGCCCAGGAATTTGAGGAATATATGGTTGATAGAGGTGCTTGGGGTACATTACAGAACACCAAGGCAACCAACATATCTGATATTAATAATACACCAGAGATAAGCTTGGCCCCTTATTTGGATATTCAAGATGTTATTTTGTAGACAATATAGAACTTGAAGAGGTTAGATCCACCCTCCTATCTACAACCGGTATCTACTGCCAACCCGGAATGTAAACGAACAAATGAAACCTTTATCTCATCCCCATGTGCAATCGGAATTCACACAGGACTTCGCATTCTATCCAACGTACATCAAGACCGAGTCCTGGCCGGACCTATTCTTTCATCATCTATTGAGGCGAGTTCATATTTACATTTATCCCACCCCACTTTCGCTCACTATTAGCGGAACACTGTATCTTATATAGTTCGTGATTTATATGTATGATTTACCCCGCAATGAGATATAACTCTTAAGAGAATTTGAAATTAAAATAAATTATCATAGTACATTTATACTTTTGCATGCAGCGTTATGAACCTTATTAAAAATTGTGCACTGTGGTTTTAAGAAGCAACACATTGAATCATGTTTAAAGGCTCCCTTCCTAGGCCGTCTCGAGAAATTCCAGCCCGACCGCCACCTCCCCGCATCAAATATTTGGGTGGTTTTGCAGCAACATTACTAAAGGTTGGCAGACCTCTGATGCACACATTATATACCATTTCTTCAATAACTCGCGAGATTTCATAATTTACGACTTAAATTTCTAGTCCGGACTAAGTTCTTAATTATAGATTAATGACCAATCTCGCTTTTAAAACACAAACACACATAGAATCTGAAAGTTAATAGGGGAATATATATATATATGCAACTTATAAATACATAATCATTGATATGTGCCTTCCTTATGACCCAATAAACAATCCCTGCTATTTTGAAACTAAACAGGGGATAACTCTACGAATTTAGAACGATATGAATCTTCATTATGACACAATAAACAATATCTGCGATTATCAGGAAATCTGACGTACACAATGTCCAAAGAAAATTGTGGAAGGACATAAGGTTGACAGGCTGAATTGAAATCACAGAAGTCCGGTATGCTAGGATATTCCTAATGTCATAAACAGCTTCTTTTTCAAAGTATATCGGCTGTTTTGTATATGTTTTTTCCACGTTTGTTCATTTCGTTTCTATATTAGGACATTAAGGTGGGAATTGCTTGAATTCTATTAATCAAGTAATTAGTACCTCCGATGTATTCACGCTTGGGAGCTTAAAAGAGGGCACACGCTAAGATCTGCCAGATATCATTCCGAGAAGATGGCGAGATCCTAAAGTTGCTACACAGAACAATCCCTTTAGTTTAATTGATGACGTTTACTCTCATGCTTATACATGTAATATCATAGCTGTTTATAACTTTTGTACTTTGCGATGTATTCAAATTTAAGATAGTACAAAGGAAATGAAATGGGGTTTAACGTCCTACTGTTGCCCACGCTTTAACTCTTCACATTGAAATGAAATGAAATGGAGTTTAACGTTCTACTGTTCTGCTCCGACTGGACTAATGAAGACGGGCATACGCCATACAGTGTGCTATTAGGGAAATTTTGCCCGGGCAGCTAAGATAATATAACACAACGTGAAGTCTTATTGACGTCCGAAATGAACACAACGTGAAGTAAATAATTTGGATTCATTGCAGTGGCAAATAATATGGAGGAACATTATTATCGGCATTTACAAAATGCTTTAGAAAGCCAGAAAATCGAACTCCCATAAACACCTTAAGACACAGACACTATCCAGCATGTGCATTTCAATGAAATAGTCATACTAGTCCAATCTTTCATTTAGTATAAATAATGTACTGTTGGCGTGTTGCCAACACGAAGTCGGCGAATAGTTTACGACCAAGTGGAACTGATCAGTCGTGACTACCTGGGCAACCTGAGCATTCTTTGGAGTCGGAGTTTCTCGGAGTCGCACATATTGGGGACCTGGGCGCACCTACACCTGCCTTGAGCCGGCGCTTCGCTGAGGTAGCCAATAAGACTCAATTATTTAGTCACGTGGTACCCGGGGGGGGGGGGCGGTAACAAACATGGCGGACAAGTGGAATGAAACCAGTTTGAAGGTTATCACGTGACCGTCATGTGATCAGTTGTGGCTCCCGATTCTGCAACTGACGCCGGGCGACATGAGCACACTAATTACGACTATGATCAACTGGATGACCTGGCGCCTGGTACGTTCGGGCATTTTTATGCGCGAACTCTTAGGTTTTTTTTACTGGCATGCGCACAGGTACTATTTCTTATCTTTTAACAAGTACCCAAATCGGGGATTTCGTGCGGAG